AGAAAGCATTCGATCAATCTGTGGTTTTCATACAAGATACATTATGTTCCACATTGTAATTAGTCTCTGGGGTGGTCTCGGTTCGGGAACCAAACAAAATGACGAACGGACTGGAAAAGGATGATAAAACGAAAGTAAGTAGCCGAACAGTGATAGGGCATCCCTTCACAAATAGTACTATTGTCTATAATTACCAGGAATTAATTGCGGAATTCAAATTAACATTTCAGCCATTGGGAAGGAAGAACAACGCTGCCACTGTCCTAATGCGTATCAAACAAGGGAACCATTCTGTCTCACATTATGGCATAGAATTCCACACTCTGGCTTCTGAGGTAGACTGGACTAATAACGGATTAACCACTGCATTTGCAAAGGGATTATCCAAAGCTATTCTTAAATGAATACATCACGTTTGTGATGCATATCGATAACCCACTTAGGAACAGGGAGATGTCACTGGCACCTCGCTTCTCCAATCCTGTTGTCCCTAGCCCTTCTGTGCAGTCTGAACCTACGCAGTTAGGGGTTATGAGACTGTCAGAAGCAGAGAAACAGTTCAGGAGAAAAGAAGGCCTTTGCTTATACTGTGAAAAGAAAGGACATATAAGAAATGCTTGTCCCATATGAAAACTTGCGCACGTAAGAACCATCAGGGGACCGTCCTTAGGTGGGATGTATATGTCCCCTGGTACTACCCAAAGTCGGTTTCTCCTTAGTGCTGCTGTTCAATGCAATAAGATACGTTTTACATGTAACGCCCTGATTTACTCAGGTGCTGCAGAAAACTTTATTGACATAAAATTTGCCAGTAAACACCTTATACCCACCAAGAATAGATCTTCACCCTGGCCGCCAAGGCCATTGATGGGAGACCACTCTCTTAGCCTTTGATTACCCATGAAATACTGCCTATCACTGTCACGATAGGAGTGTTACACAATGAAATCATCACATTTCAGATAATTGTGTTCCCTTCTTGTCCCATTATACTTGGATTTCTGTGGCTCGCTAAGCATAATCCTTGTATTGATTGGGCTAAAAGGGGAAATACTGTAATGGGGTAATGAATGTAGAGAGAAATGTATGTTACCTATTACTAAGAGAGTGGGTATCAATAACCTACCTACTCCTACGCCTCAGTCTACCAAAATTCCTGTGCATTATAGGGAGGTTAAAGAAGTGTTTAATAACGTCACACTGATACACTACCCCCTCACAGATCCTATGATTGCTCCATAGTTTTTTTACATGGCACTATACTCCCTAAAGGGGGAGTATATACCTTACCACAGGAGAGTAGAATTATGAAGGAATACATTAAAGAGTCTCTACATATGTAATCTTATTCCCTGACGAAGGTGCAGTATGATGCACTGAAACGCGCATCGGGTTGCTTTCTCAGTTTCATTTTTTCACGTTATTGCACTCATGGAGGCACTGTTTGCTTAGCACTTTTATTTTGTTAACTTAGATCCTTAGTAGGATAAGGGTGGTCTTGGCAGTGTTTGGCTTTGACACAGTAACCTAGGAAAATCATTAGAACACCCATGAAGGTGTTTTCTAGGAGCATTAGGGATACTATGTAGGCATTGACGCTGTTAGACTCTTAATTCAGTGAAGCCAGTGATCCGCTCATGCTTTTTGCTATACAGCTGATTGTTCTACCAGCCTCTACTTTACCTGCATCTAGAGACCATATGCATGGTCCTCTGTATCACTCATTAACTATCCTGTACCTCCTAGACCACCTAGCTTTTGGTATCAGATCAGCACACCGTTTATGTAATGGATTCAATAGAGCTATTTAGTCTATTTGTTTGGAGATATATCTGCAGCCCATACTGACAATTTTTGTGTTGCTTTGAAGTGGTTTCACCTTATGATCCAACTAGCTGGGATGATACTTGTTGATATTTTAGGGTCCTGCCCTGGTGTTGCCTCCTGATATATCCCTTTTATGTTGGTAATTAATAAAGTAGTTTCAGAGGTGATATTATGTGAGACTTTTTATCCAGGAGCAGTTTACCCTTTTCCTACTCCTCTAGGATCTAAGCATATTTTAACAGGTTGCATTCTTTTCCTTTTGCATTATCCCCAATTTATTTAATAAAGCCAGTATAGTGTGTTCCCCCTCTTCCCTTTTTGTGTTGTGGGGGAACATTCTTTCTTTTATTCTACTTTTATACTTTGTTTAACAAACTTGAACTTGGGAGTGCGTATAGTTTGGTAAGGATTAAGGAGGGACATGAATAGAGAACTGCATTTAACACAAGAAATGGTCACTATGAGTATCTTGCCATGCCCTTCGGCTTATGTAATACACCAGACATATTTCAGGATCTCATTAATGTTCTCAGAGACTATATTTATACTTTTGTATTGGTATATCTGGAGCTTTCCTCATCGTTGTGTCTCTTTCTGTGTCCCTGACCTCGAGAAGTATTTTGACTATTCTCAGGTACGTTAAGTCTGGCCATTCTAAGTTCCGGTTAGACGTTATCCTTAGTCCTAGGTGTGATACTATTCTGCATTCTGGATCAACAATAATCCTGACAGTTACTAGGTAGAAATGTAAATGCTAAAAAGGCTGCATTTACATTGAAAAGCCTGCAGGGATAGGCTATAGACCAGGGGTTTCCAACCCATGGTACGCGTACCCCCAGGGGTACAATTCAGTGCCCCAGGGGGTACATGAAAATTTTTTGGTATCTGCATGTGTGTCAGTGTGTGTATTTGTGTGTCAGGGTATGTATAGGTCTGTGTGTCACTGTCTGTATCTGTATGTCTTTATCTGCATGTGTCAGTGTCTGTATCTGTATGTCTGTGTGTCAGTGTGGGCATCTGGGTATGTAGCTGGGTGCCATTGTGTATGTATGTATCTATGTGTCAGGGTGTGTATCTGTGTGTCATGGTGTGTATCCGTGTGTCAGGGTGTGTATCTCTGTGTCAGGGTATGTATCCTTAAGTGTGTCAGTGTATGTATATGTGTCTGTGTATCTGCATGTCTGTCAGTGTATGTATCTCTGTGCATCTGCATGTGTCTCTGTATCTGCATGTGTCAGAGTGTGTATCTGTGTGTCAGGGTATGTGTCTGTATGTGTGTCAGGGTATGTGTATCAGTGTATATATCTATGTGTCTGTGTATCTGCAAGTGTGTCAAGGTGTATCTATGTGTCATGGTGCGTATATGTGTGTTAGGATGTGTATCCTTAAGTGTGTCAGTGCATATATATGTGTAGCGGAGCTGCAATATTAAAATCAATATCTCTGCTGGTAGACTGTAAGGACATCCAAGAGAAACGTAGTTCAGCACTATAATCCCAATTTCCCAATAACTGGACGATACACAGTTCTGGGAGTCAACTGATTTTTATTCAGCCACAGCTGGCTTTTATGCAACTCCCCATGAAAGGGGTTTCTTTAAGTACATTCCAGGGTTTTTCCATTGGAGGACCTTGTTGGGGACGGGGACAAGGTAACATTTCAAAGAATACTCCTCTGTACTTGGGAGATAATTGAGTAAGAACTACTCTTTAATTACATTATCTCCCAAGGACAGAAAATATACAATATTTCAAACCATCATAACATACATTCATATTAGTCAGAACTCCACAAAAGATACTTCACCAAATAGCAGGGATCTGAGCACCCACTCTGTCGAAATATCGCTCAGATCCATTCGTGGAATAGGAATGCCATTCGAGTGAAGTTCGGACCGGTCAACCACGAGGTGAAGCCCCAAAATAGTTCCAGGTGGTTTTATGCTTTGACTGTTCTGTTTTCGGGAGTATTCACCATTAAAATAACGAATGGAACTGTTCGTGTAACAGAGGTTCGTGTGCCCAGTGTTCGATAGTTTCTTTCATTCGAATGCCGCACTGTATATGTGAAGGGGAACAAACATACGAAAGGATGGAAGTTCAGCGGTGTTCGTGACATTGAGTGTCCAATTATAGTTCCATGCACTCGATGACCAAACGACGCTGTCTGTTCGTGAACAAAGATGGCCACCGCCACGTGTTCAGTCACACGAACGATGGCCACCCATCCAACCACTTAGAACCTTGCAGTTGTAAGTGTGAACACCGTCAATTGGAGGCACACGACTCCCCCTGGGTGGTCTCACTGTTCGATAGTTGGTTCGACTGACAAACAATATGCCTTTAGTTTGTTCAGGAACCCCAAATTGTCGAACCAACTCAGTCTTGCATATGAATATGTGGCTAGTTTTGCCACAGTCTGCATATGTGTCAGTGTATGTATCTTTGTGTAATGGTATGTGTGGCGGGACCGCTGCCTGTTTGTGAGACATTCCCAGTGTTTTCCACTGTATTGTGTTGTATTCATGTGTTTTACCTGCTCCCCGTTCCATGAAAAGGCGACCATAAAACCTAATTTAGAATGTTGTCTTAGAACGATGTCAAAGCCACAAACCGCGTGCCACAAGTGTCGGAGCGTGCTGAACCTGGGTGGTGGCCTGTTCATTAGATGAACGACACCCAGGAAGAACATTTGTGGATTGCATCCCACCTTTTCGGTTCCCGAACGGGGACCTCCCCAGTGCCCCTTGGAGTGTTCAACCCAATCAATTAGAATGTTGCCGACTTGCAACATAAGTGTGAAACCGCAAGGGAAGTAATTAATGAGTACTTCCCTTGGTGGCTGCCATTCATATGGACGAATGATGGCCAGGGGGAGCATTCGTGTCCCAAAAGGAGACGCTTCCCTTGCCTGGTTTCACCCATGGACCCGTCGAGCAGAGGCTGTTCATGGCGGTTACCGTTCTGGTGGTCCCTGAGATTGGTGGGGACACCCTTTGGGGACAATGGCGGTTTGGCGAGCTTTCTGTGACTGGGAGGTGGGAAGCTTTCCGTGCTGGGGCTCCCAGATA